CTCCCATCCACACTCGTCTTGTATACTTGTTTTATCTATCTCCTTTCCGAAAACCGACTTCTGCGCATGGGCCACGAAGTTTCAATCGCAGTGTACGTGCCCGCCCGCACGTGGTATTTTGTGGAAGAGCCACACTCCAGGGGCCAAAGAGCCACATGTGGCTCGCGAGCCGCGGTTTGCAGACCACTGACTTAGGACAATGAAGGGGAAGTAAGGTTCAGATTTCCCACCTGCAGAATAATCAGACCAAGAACTACAACATAGACCATTAAAGAAAGAAAGGAGCTTATAATCAACTCATTTAAACCTGCAATCTCCCCCTCCCTTCCCCTGACATTACAGTTGAAAAAAAACTGAGGCTCCAGAAGCTTCCTTTTCCAAACTTATAGTTTACTTTTAATTTTACTTTGGATTTAGACCGGTCAAAGGCTTTCCTGCCTTCTTTACCAAGATGTAATATAATATGAACTCATAAGAATCAGGGTTTGTTTGTTTTCTTGTAATCTAAAACAGCTTTTATCAGAAACCTAATTCACGAGAAGAAGATAATCATGCAGGAAAAAGCAGATCTTTGTGGTGTGTGTGTGTTTTTCCTTTCCTTTAAGATATCAGAACTATTAAGGATTATATTTTTTCTTTTGTTTTCTTCCCTATTAAAAGCAAGAGTCGATCCAATATTTCCCCCTCATCCTTCTGTCTAGTCCTCACGCATGGGATTAATTAGACAAGACGAATCACTGAAGGAACATTTATCTTTATCCAGAAGATTGTTTTCATAATTTTTTGATGTCATCCGAGCATTTCCACTTTTTGAGTGGCTTTTTGTAATGACGGATGGGTGCAACTGCTTTTAATGCCTGGTGAGGCAAGCATTCTCTTATGTGTGTGCATGTACATATGAGAAACATTAATTTTTAATTTACTCTGTTTACCTTGAGCAACTGCCAGTGGATGATTCAGATATTCCGCAGAAAGGGGCTTTTCTTTTGTATTATAGGACAAAGGACAGCTAAGCATGTGTTCTTTCTTCAAAGCGGAGGTTCGGGGGGGGGGGGGGGCTGTAGTATTTATTTGTGCAGCTTACAAAAGGACTGTTTTGACTATGTAAACACTCATATAATTTTATTAAGAGTTGCTACCAGATCTTTTCATCTAGTATAGGCTTAAAAATTAGGCTTAGATACAGTGATAAAGAACCAGCATGGGCTGTTCCCACGTTCCTTTAACTCAGTAACTCACTGTGTGTCTGTCTCAGGAACGTCATTGGCGTTGTGGTGAGTTCAGGCTGGTTTCTGATTTCCAGTCCCAGGTGTGACACCAACATTAGGATGTCCCCAGTTTCATCACTTGTCTTGGGTTCAGGTGCACCAGGAGGCTGGATACATGGGGCCTGCTGATTCTAAGAAGGAGCAAAACTTCCCATCTTCCCTGAGAGGGCTTGGGAATGAAAACTACAGAATTCCAAAGGCTTTCCAATAAATGCGTTTACAACCTGATTCCAGGGGTTAGAGTCCTCTTCAACTCTCCCCAAATTGTCTAAGAACTGTTAGGGGTTTACTCAGAAAAGAGGACTCAGTTCTGATTCCATAGGATGAGAGAGAACTGGAGAATCTAAATAAGTCACTGTTGTAGCTGAGTGGGGCCTTGCATCGACTGCATTAATGTTCAGGGCACATCTGAGGGGACACTCTTAACAGCAAGGAATTGTGTAGTTATTAAAACAGTTTTCTGGCAGATGGCATTAAGGTGATGTGTTCTAAAAAAAATATCAGTGTATTGGCTCAGTTTTAGGTAATATGAAAACAGTTATTTTTAGGGCAGCTGTTATTTTTATGATAAATAACAATTAGTGAGTGTGAACCAGAGAATGGTGGTTAATTGCTTTTGGCCTCTCCCTTCAGGACAGGCTTCTTAACATAAATTTGGAAGATCAGTCTGCTTTGATAGGAAAAAAAGAAAGTTGTATCTTCATTATCAATCACTCCGAACTGAAATTTAGGATTACAAATGGAAGCAACCCAAACACAATATTATTAGCATTATCTATGACTGTTTTTATATCACATTTAAATTGTTGCAATATCTCGAAATATTATTCATGCTCATCACAGTTATGCTGATTGTTAAAAGCTACCACTAATATATTATCTAATGAGATAATAAAGCAGGACATATGATACATTTAAAAAATATTTTAACTGTCTTTTAATAAAACTGGTATCCTTTGTAATCCCATGTATTTTATCTCATGAAACTTTATTCTGAAAGGGGCTTCATGGTCCTGACCAGCCTATTAAAGGGTCTTGGGCACACAAAAATAAATTAAGAGATTTTGATAAAGGAAGTTAAAGACTAGGAAATATTAATTCCTTTGTCTCTCCTTTTTGAGAATCATTTGCCCTCCACCTCCCTCCAGCTGACCGTGGAAAAGTCATCATAATTGTATAAATCCACCTGAACAGTTTGCCTTTAAGTCTAATTGCCATTCAGTATAATTACAGCTACGCATGGCATTACATATACATCAAATTGATTTTTAGTTCATTTGATTCGATTTCAACACCAAACTGTTCATTTCAGCAATCTTTATGGTTTCATAGTTTATGCCTTAGTAAGATATGGTTGGAGAGAAGACATCACATGAAACCACTTGGGAATCACTGCTCTACATTTAACCTGTGCTTCCATTATGGCTGCTGCATTGTGTCTGATAAACACTCTCTTATATGACAAAAGATGACACTGTTTTCTACACAATATCTTTGCATTATAATTTGTTCAGCACAAACACATGCTTTTCGATGTGGAAAAATTATTAAGATGCTGCAAAATGTGGCACAACTTCTAGATTGTGCTTTGGCAAACATGTGCCGGAAATACTGTGTTTTCGCAGCACGTACAATATTCTCTGGTGCAAAACACGGTCTCTTCAGAGTTCCTCAACCCACGTGTACTCTTGCACAGACCATTAGCAAAGACGATCTAGTCTCTGAATCATTCATTCCAAATTCTAGAAGAGGGAATATGACTGTTCAAGCCTGATGTGCTCCCGGGTCAATGCAGGAGGCTAAGGGGACAAGGTCCCACAGTACAAGAAATCCTGCAGGGACCCCAGCAGGTGGGCAGTCCTCTGAGAATGGAGAGGGTCACAAAGGCTTAAAAAGGAGAGACCATAATGGTTATTCAGGAAAGACGGGACTATCTGGATCCCTGCCTATGAAGGGTGACAGGATATCCCTTTGGTGGCCCAGCCTGATCCAGAGTCCTTAGCAGGAGGACCAGGATAGCAGTCCTTTCCATTTGCAGATATATATTCAGGGAACATAAGAGGGGCTTTTACATGAGTGACTCTGTGTTAGGTAATTTTTATGTACCTTGACCCATTAAATCCTCAGATTTCCCCAGGCAACACCTACCAATATTTGTC